CTGCCTTCACCCTGAGTCAGCTGGGATAGACTCCAGTCCCCCATGACCCTAGTGAGGATTAAGGTGTAGAGATGATGGATGGATGGAAGAAGTTTTGGGGCCTAAACTTAACCACGTAGTTTTGTAGCATAAACAAAAGCAAATAGTGACCAAACAAAGGCAGAAAACATCAGTAAGAATGCAACAAAGTGTAAAAATACAAACCTGCCGGGTGGTTAATGCCGCCTTTACCCCTCTAACTTTTGTTCTTTTAATGTGCGAAGTGAAAGAAACTCATGAGATATGTGATCAAATAAATAACTAAATAGGCATCTCACACTTTTATAGCCTTTATTGTGAAACTAACACTGCTTGTGCTGTGGACCAATGAAGCTTTGGTGAGACTATGGTGTGAACTAACAAGTTAATACGAGCAAAACAATGCAGGTTTCAAACTTCTGGAAAAGTTCTGCTTTGCAAATGTTGCAGGAGGAGGAAAATTCGTTCAACGTGTTGGACAGACTTTAGAGACTCAATGCGTTTAAAACTGAGAGGCAACGCTGTGACAGGAAATTACCTTTAAAGGCACCTTTAACCCTCTGGACGCCAAAGCCTGCCATTTTATCTTTTAATCCATTCATTAGAGCTGATACTGTAAAAACAGAAAGAATCAACAGTCTTTCCACTTTCTGATGATCTGTGAACTAATCATGTAGAACAGGGAGTTCCACTGGGAAAAGTTAACCAACTTTGAGCCTAAAATTGTGATATTTCATTAAAATCATGTTAATCTAAGGCCGCGTTTACACATAGCCGGATATTCACAAAAACGGATCTACGTTTTCAAAAATAACATCGTTTGCACCAGATCGCTTTAAAAAAAGTCTTCGTTTACACAAACCCTCATAAACACGTCGTTAAGAGCTGCTATGAGCTGCCAGACCTGTAGGGGGCAGTGTGACGAGAAGCGTAAAGCCAGGCTAGCCTGGAAAAAACACAACAAATGGCACAAATTACTTCCTGTTATTGCAACGATAATGGCGCGAGGGTCGTTTGTTTGGACCGACAGAAGCTCCTCCACACAATAGAACATTTCTGAATGTAAATGCAAACAGGCTGCAAACGTAAAAAACCAGCACCGCTTTAACAGCATTTCTATCACAGCAGCCAAACTGTGAACATGGTCGCACACATATGACGCTGATGACGCTTTTGTAACGTCAAACTCTGTCTCCTCCCGTCTACATGCAAACGTAAAGACAGAGTTTTTCCAAATCTCCACTTTGGCCAGGTTTTCAGAAATGATTGTTTTCAGTGACTCGTAGCTTCATTTACGTGTAAACCACCGTGTAAGACCCACTGAAATATCACTGGTGCCTTCGTGTCTCATTCAAAAAGTCACTAAAAACAAGTCATTTTTGTTAACTAGATTCTGTAAAAACCAAACATTACATGCTCCTCGGTGAAACTGAAAAGCCATTAGTGACTCAGCTGCAGCCGACTATTACCTGGCAAACAGTCACAGAGTTTTCAGCTGAACTGCAGGCTGTGTGTACACAGAGCAAACAGAAAACTTATACCGCACAGGACACGTTTGAATCTGTTCTATTTCTAGCCATGGCTGTGCTGTTTCCACAGAGGCTCAGGACTTTATATTGCAGAGAAAAATAAACCCACAGCGAGTAAAAACTGTAACAGGAACACCCCACAACAGCTCGCGGCCCAGAGGGCGAATATAACCGAAGAGAGAACGGCAGTAAATGCAAAACACTTCTCTGTGTTTATTTCTGTTTGGCTTTCTGCTCATATGTACGTACATTTATATATATTCCTAGTAAATGTATTTCAAAGGTATTTTTAACGACTCACACGCCTGACCCTCCCACAAAGTGCCTACAGATAAACAAAACCTCCGACTCCACTACTCGCTTGCTCATCGGTGTAAATATACGAGTTTATAGGCTGAAATTGAGCGTTCATAGCAAGCAAACGGTCCTAGAATAAGGCAAAAAAAACAAAATGAAGGAGTGTCAGCGGAGGACTACGGGGAGGCATGAAAGAGGCCGAGGCAGAGGGTGGGGAGCCGAGAGAGGAGAGGGATTACACGATAAAATAGAAAGATGAGAAATGTGAGGAGGAGGAACAGAGACCGATAGGTGTGGGAAGGTAGCGGGAAAAAAAAGAAAAAAAAAGAGATAACACAAGGCAGGAGAAGAATCTGAAAAGGATGCGAGAGGACGGCACACAAAAGAGGGAGAGAGGGAGGACTGATGAGGAGGGGAAGGTGGGAGAGGAACCAAATCACACAATAATAGGCTGGAAGAGAAAGAGAGGAATCAGGGCTGTGATCAAACGGCTGCTGAAAACAGTTTAATATCTGCTTCAGCCTGTTTACAGAGGAAGGATGTTTGTCTCATGAGCACATTAAAGACTCCAGACTTCACTTTATCTGACCTTTATAGAGGCCAAACAAGTCGGGAAGAGTTGAGCGACTCGTTGGTCGATACAAAACGTTCTCTGCTTTCAGTTAAATTCTTAAAAATCACTGTAACCAACTTTTAAAAATACTTGAATACATGCATTTTGTGAATGTGTGATGGGACTTTTATGCTATTATCTGACATTTTATAGACATCGATCAGCTCGAGAAAATGATCAGAATAATTGTTACCCTACGTTCCTGTTTCACGTTATAGCAGCGAGGACACAAACGCTTGTGCTGTTTCTGTAAATGCTTCTCTGCTCTGAACTCCAAAGCTCACCGGCTGTTTTGAGAGACATTTTACCTTTAAAAATAAATTCCAAAAGACACCATTCATCAGAGTCAGACACTGTAAAAACAATAAGAATGGAAAGATTTCTGACGGTCCTCGAACTGATCACGTGTGATGTGCAGTTTGCAAAATCTAAGCCTAAGATCATGCTATTTTATTAAAATCATGTTATTCCACGTTTTTAAAAAGCCCTCAAAATAACCCATTTTTGCTAAATAGATTCTCTAAAAGCAAAGACAATGAAGGACGCACCCCTCGATGTAACTGAAGAGCCATTAGTTCCCATTAATAAACAAGAAATCTGAGTTTTCAACTGAACTGCAGGCTGTGTGTGCACCGAGCACATAGGAGACTAAAACTATATGAACAAAGTAAAAATGAAATAAGTATTCAAATATTTACAGTATGTAGACTTGCAGGTTTTCTCTTCTAGCATTGGTAACATTCATGGGCACCTGGAAAAATGTTGGACATGATAATTCCATGTTTTTTCAGTTTTCGTAAATCAAATAATCAATTTATGGCATTTTAACTGTGTTATGCTGCACAAAATCATTCGCGTTCTCTCTATTTCTAGCTACGGTTGTGCTATTTACATACAGGACTTCATATTACAGAGAAAAATGTATGTATCGCCTCATACATTTCTGTAAAAAGTATTTTTAACAATTCACTCGTCCGATCCACCCACGAAATGCCTGCAAATAAAGAAAATCTCCATTTTTGCTGAGTAGATTCTGTAAAAACAAAAAATGATGCATCCCTCCATGCAACTGAAGAGCCATTAGTTATCATTAATAAACAGCCAGCGGAGAGTATTCAGCTGAACTGCAGGCTGTGTAAAACAGGAGACAACTATTTAATATAGAATAAAATATCTCAAGAGTTCATTTGCAAAAACAGATCACTCCAATTTTGTAGATTTTCAGAAAACTTCTTTTTTTGTTGTTTGCTTGAGATAATATCAGTCAAACTGAGTGGATCTGACTCAGTAGAAATGACACAAATAGAGATAACTGAAGTTTGATTGACATTGTCTCAGGTAGACGATGGAGAAGTAGGTTTACTGAAGGTTTGTGAAGATGGAGTTATCTGTTTCTGCAAATGAACTCTTCATTTAGAGTAATATATTGTAAATATAATAAATGTAGAGTCATTACTGTCTGAATAAATAATTGTTGTCCTGTTTCACATTACTGCAGAGTCGCTCCCCGAACACACAAACGCTTCTGCTGTTCCTGTAAACACCGCTTGAATCAAATGGGAGCGAAGCCACGACAGCATTGTCAAAGCATATTCTTAACCTCGATGCATTACGCAGCATTTCTCCCAAAGAAGAAAAAAAAGAAAAGAAAGAAAGCCTTACACACACGGCCAATTAACCTATCGATGTAATTAAGGCTAGTGAATTGATTAGGGCGCAGAGAGCTTACACACTGCCTTCCAGGAAAAGACTCTGTCACTTGACTTGATGGAGGAGATGTGGGGACAAAGAGGCTGGGCCTTCAGGGTCACACGACTAGTTAGTGTCACTTCAGGGAAAAAAAACTACGTAAAGGACGCTTTTTTAATTTACTTAATATCCTCAAAGAGCGTTCATATTTTACCTCTCGGGCTGGGAGCTTAATTGAATGCCCCTGGATGGGGACAGTTATGCCAACAAAGCACTCCTTAAATTCTATCTGTGGGGGTAATAAGACAGATAGCGTGGAGGTGGATAAATGAAGATGGAGATGGGTTCAGTGCCGTGCAGGAGGCTGTGATGTGAGGCGCCTGTTCACGTACACACAGATGGAGTTCGAACGACTTCAGAAGTGGCCATCAGCCGGGCGGAAGTGCGTTTTCTTATTTGCCGTAGAGGTACAGGATGTCAAAAAGTAATTCGCCGTATGAGTAGTAGCCGGCAATTTACATAAATCGAACCTGATCTCATCCAGAGTGCGACCATTTATCAAAATACCAAACACGCTAATGTGGTTTCTCACAAGGAGGCCCGGCGAGGGGAGGAGACGAAACCCCGATATTGATCGCTTAGCAAAATGTAGTTAAAGCATAAAGTGCAATTTATCTGTTTATCTTTCTGCAGGTATCACCGTCCTGCTGTCGCTCACTGTGTTCATGTTGCTGGTCGCAGAGATCATGCCGGCCACGTCCGACTCCGTCCCTCTCATAGGTAAGTGGTGTTTTATTTTGTTTACCTTTTTTTTTATGGGTGCTTTAAATGTCTCGACCCACGACACCTAATTAAAACTTACTGCCATAACAACATTTAACGATTGTCAATGTGGTATCAAGTTGCTGTACTCATTAGAGATACTCCATGAAGCTTCTGAATCAATATTTGGTCTCTAGTGTTCAATTTTTTTAAAGTTGTGAACAGTAGGAAGCAGCTTCTGTCTCAGGTTTGGTGGTTTAGCGGAGAAAAAGTAAAAAAAAAAACATCAACTCATCTTTTCTAGTTTACTTCATGTAAACGTGCACTTTTTGTTTATTTAAAGTTAATTAAACTAATTTATTTAAAAAATCTGAGTTATTCTAACTTAAGAAATCCAACTTAAAATGAGCAGTTGAATAAATGAGTTCCCTAAACTCATTCAATTATCGCAGATTTCCCAAGATGCATTGTTACAGAGTTAGAAGTGTCCCTTTGTTTCTGAAAGCAGACATGACAGAAACGTCTTTAACACATGTTAAATTGAGTCTCATGGTTGTTTCTTTCCACAGTAATGAAAACTATTCCAGTACTGGATTCGGTCTCTACATCCGCAGACTTCTAATTTACTTCACTGTCGCTGGGAACAGATTGTCTTTGTACTGACTCTGGTGTAAAACGGCTTCAGCAGCTGTGGCTCCGCGTTCGTCATGTTAATTGCGAAAATAAAAAGACGCTTTATTCTTAGAAAAAAATAAAAGGAAAGCAAGTGAAGTCTGTGAATATAATCTGTGTGACTAAACAGTGAATTCAGCTTCATATCATAACTTCACTGAGCTTGTTCCTCAATATTAATTTGAATCAAGTCTACACTTTCACAACTCATGAGATTATGAAGATTTGGACATTATCGGCCCATTAAATCCTCCTACCTCCTTCTGCTTGGCTCAAGAGGTGCGTTATCAGCCAATCTGATCATTGATAAACAGGAAGTGACCTCGATAACGTCGGCGACTTCTTGCAGTCGCGTGAATAAGTGCTCTTGAAATCTCCATTGGAGTCAAGGGAAATGTACAATATTCATCTTTGTAGCATGCTGTTGAGGGTGTATTTTAACCCAAGCCATGATCCTTTTATAAACCTAACTGAGTAGTTTGGATGCCTAAAGCTAATCAAACATTGAAAGGGCGGTTGTGGCTCAGGTGGTAGAGTGGGTTGTCCTCTGATCATAAGGTCGTCACTTCGACCAACCTTAGGAAGTTGATTGGTCAACTTCAACTGCCCAAGGAGTTGAAGTGTCCTTGGGCAAAGACACTGAACCCTAATGGTTGCTCCCAATGGCAGGCAGCACCTTGCATGGCAGCTCTGTCGCCATTGGTCTATGAATGGGTGAATGAGAGCTAATGCTGCTAAGGTAGAAAAGCGCTACATAAGTGCAGTCCATTTACCAAACACCGAAAGCAAATGTCAAAATCACACTTAAGTGAAAAAATAAATCCATAACAGTGATCTAAGTCAGGAAGTCTACTCTCTCACCCCTCCACCAACCCCGCCAACCTCCTCTTTGTACATGCAGAGTTGCCGCTTCATTGACATCTTCTGCTAGAAGGTTCGGGAGGTCTTTACTGGTACATATGTATCTGAAATAGGTGATCAATCCGAACTAATTAACGCAACAAATATACATTTTAAGGCAGTTTTTGAAGTACGTTTTTGAAGTACGACTACGTTTTTTTTTTTTTTTACAGCGTGCTTACCACGTTCAGTATCTTATTTTAGTGTGTTAGCGTGCACAAAACCTAATGTGATTACTTTTGCAGGTATTTGGTCACAAGCTGAATGTAAAGCTAATTCAAATTTTGATCCAATGGTACCAGAAGAAGAGAACCTGCAATACTAATTCACTAGTGTCCACAAATGTTGATACAAAATTCCACAGAACCCTGTCTAATTTATTGTGAACTGAAGCTGTAGGCTAAATAACTTCATCCTAATTCTTTCAATTCAGATGGATAAAAAAACTAACTACAGAAAATACAGATAAGATATAGAGTCACAACATGCTACTACAAAGTGGCCCAGCTGCAAAGTGTCCTCCCAACAAACCCCCAAAAACCTATAATAACAGAATTTATTTTAGCCACCTGCTCCCCTTAAACTTTAAGTGGCTAAATTGATTGTGGCCACACTGCTGGAAATGATGTTTAGCGAGAAAAAAAAAAAAAAAGGCTGCAGCCAAAAAAACAGATGCGAGGCCATCTTTGCCCGAGGACACAAATCCTGGCCGTTAAAAAGTTGAGAAAAAAAAATGCAGAGTCATAACCATCGGAGTGTTGCTTTCAGCATAATTTTTATTGCGGATAACTACCCTGATCTTAATCTGTTTGATGATTTTGCGCGCGGATAGCTGCTGGTAGCAGGTTGACAAACGACGTGCTGAACAGAAAAAAGGGGACGAAACTGTCCCCTCGGATTCACCTTATCCCTGAGAATCTTCTTACCGTGTTCAAAAGAGTTCATCTCATCAACCTCTCAATGCTTGAAACAGAAATAAAGGCCTGAAATTGAAGCTTTTTAAAATTGTTTCTTGAATAAAGCTACTTTTTCTGAGAAAATAAGTACCTGCTGCTGCTACTACGGCTGTCAAAAGGCCAGTAGGAAATGATAGTGTGTGTAAAATGACGTGCAACTGTGTGAAATATAACCCAGCTCCACACTCTGCTCCTCCCAGGTCAGTACTTCGCCAGTATAATGATCATTGTTGGGATGTCAGTCATCGCCACGGTGGTGGTTCTGCAGTATCATCACCATGATCCAAACGGAGGAAACATGCCAAAATGGGTGAGGAAGAGCTCTCGCAGTTCACCGTGACCTCAGATTCATTAGCAGTCACATACATCACGCGCTGACGCTTGTTACGGCTTGTAAATGGCTGGCCTTCCTGTTCCACGTATGATATATTCCTCCTGTTAATCTCTATTCCAGCCTTCATTCTTCTGCTGCTGCCATTTTCAATAACGCCTCATCATTTGTCAGCGCTACCTGCGCTCCTTCTGCCAGCTTCCTTTTCTCCTTTCATTCTCCGACTTCCGCGGCTGTGACTCATCCGGCAGTGTCAGTCTGCCTGAGTGTGTGCATCAAATGCCTCGCCGCAGACTTCAACAGGAGTGCATTTCAAAGCACTCTGGATATGTGGGCGGATTTGATTTGACTCATCCCTTCTTTTTTTTTTTTTATTTTATTTTTCTTGCCTTCTGTTTAACACTAAAAAAAAAAAAATGCATCAAGTCTTCTTTTTTTTGAAAGTTTTGTTCTAATGTGAATACATCAAAAAATGGCCCGAAATGAAGACATTAAATCTAAAAAATGATCGTGAGTGACATTATTTCAACATTTCTGTAATACTAATAAACTGCCAAAGCGCAGGATGGTGTCGTTCGGGATTTTAAGAGGTATTTATTTCATGATTTATGCTTCGGCTGCGGAGAAAAAAATTGACAGGCCTGCAGTTATTGATATATGTACGAGCGACTTGGTTGTGCGAGGGTGCAGATGCTGTATTTATTGACACGTTACAAGGGCATTCTGTTGATGAATGGCCTGTTCAGACAGTCCAACGGCCAATTAACAAGTTAATTGATGTGGTTCAGACGAGGGCATTGTACCAGCACAGTTCATAATTACAGCCCGGACAAAAACAACATCAACCGCAGCAGCAACAGGGAGCGTTACCTGGCTGCTGAACATACGCAGTGGAAACTAATTGAGCAGTCATCTGGACATTCGCTTCTCATTAAATGCCAGATACCCATCTGGACTCTGTTGGGCTAGGATGCCCTTTCAGGGGAAATGCAGTCTGTTTTTTTCTTTTCAAAGGAGAAAAGAGGAGAAAACAGAACACAGCAGTAGAATGGAAGTTTTAAATTTGTGTCAATTTGTGCAGCTCATCTTCTCTTTAACTTAATGCGGTAGTTTACAGAAAGATTATTGCAGCTTCATTAGAGTCATGAAATAGTCATCTGAGAATGGATCTCAGTAATTCCACAGTTTGAATTTAATGTTGCCTCTTTTTTTTTTTTAAATCCTCTCTGTTGGGAATCCAGTTAAAGCAAAAAAAAAGCCCAAAAAACGTCTTTGCCTCAGGCGGTTTCTCTGGGTGTCCCTGGCGAGGATCTTATATTTCTGCTTATACAGGCTGCGGTTTCAAACAGCGCACGAGGATGGAAGCAGAACCAATATCACTCTGCAACAAACGAGGCTATTAGCTCGGCTTAACTGGAGTTATATGTAGGTCAAAATGTGTTGGTGGTTTCTTTCTCTCTGAAAACATCTGCCTCTTTTTCTCTCCAGGTGCAGCTCGTGTTGCTGCAGTGGGTGGCCTGGTTCCTGCGTATGAAGCGTCCGGGGGAGAACGACGACCCCGAGCGGCCGCCGTGCGCCCCCCACCTGCGCCGCTGCTCCTCGGGCTCGCAAAGCGGGAGCATCCCCAACCCTCAAGACCCGACGCTGCACCCGCTGCACCCCCAGAACCTGGCTCCTCTCCAGACGGGGCCCCTCCACGCGGGCCACCCCCACCTCCACGCTCAGTCCAGCGCCAACAACAACGGGAACCTTCTCTACATGGGCTTCCAGAGCATGGACGACCCTTCGATGCTCTCGGAGGCCGTGCAGAGGAATAACATCTCCGCGGGGCCTCCGAGAGTGGCAGGAAGTCCGCCGCCGCACCTGCCGTCTCAGTTCTGCAGCTCTCCGCCACCTCCCACCCCCAACATGGACACCGTGGGGTGTCCCAGCACCGTCTCCAGCGGTGGAGGCTTCGGAGGTGGACCAGGAGGGCTGGGAGCATGCTCCACCTCTGGGCTAGGAGACCCCCAGCTGCAGGCCATCCTGGAGGAGGTCCGGTACATGGCGGACCGGTTCCGGGAGCAGGACGAGGCGGAGAGTGTGGCCGACCAGTGGAAGTTTGCGGGCGCCGTGATCGACCGCCTGTGTCTGGTGGCGTTCAGTGTCTTCAACATCATATGCACCATCTCGATCCTCATGTCTGCTCCCAACTTTGTGGAAGCTATTTCTAAGGACTTTGTTTGAAGGCATAGAGGAAATAAGAAAAAAAAAAAGAGGAAGAGAAGCGTGAAGGAAAGGATGAAGGAAATTAAATATGGGATAAAGGATGGAGTGGGCCTCGATCCAAGGAAACGCAATTTCCAGTGAACTTGAGGCTCTGTGATTTGTGATTGCAAGGAACTGGGAAATAGAAAAAAAACTAATGGTTTTCTTTGCAATACATTCTGTTTTGTAACTGAAACATAAGGAGAAAACAGATGAAGAAGGGGATCCGGAGCGAAGTTGAAATGAGATTAGGGTGAGCAGGGTGCTTTATCAGATTCTTGACAAGGTGAAATGGATTCTTGTGGTTAATTCAAAGACTTTTCCTCCAAAATTAAGGGGGAAAGATGAGTCAGAAAGGGGGTAAAAGAAAGAGAGGATTATCCATCCAACGCCAGAAAGCTCCTAAAGCGGAGGGAGAGACTGAGAGAATAAGAGGGGCAAAGAGGCAGACGGATAGATAGCGACGGATAAACGAAGCAGACATTTGACTGTTTTATTTTCTGGAGGAGAGACGACAGGCCCCTCGCTCCCACATGTTGAGAAAATACTGCATCATTTAAAGTGATGTGAGGACGAGAGGGCGGGGAGAGGAGACAGAGACTCTCACAAGGACAGACAACAAAGAGCAGTCATGAAGGAACCAGACTTCATCCCCCGTGACATTGGCAGAGTTAGGCGTAGTAAGCGGCTTGATGCTCAGATATACAAAATGTGGACCCGCAGATCAAGAACGCTGCAGCACAGAGGAACAGACGAGGATCTCATCTATTATTCAATCCCATCCATCTAATGACCGTCAAATTGAAAGACCTCGGATAATCTTTAAGACTAATAAGCTTTTAAAAGATGAAGTCCCCCCTCTCTCCTCGCGAGCCACTTTAAATTTCCGCGGCCTTATCTCTTCGAGACGATTGCCAATCTGCAACAATCAGCAGAGATCAGAAAGCTCCTGAGCGGCGTTCACAGTGTGCGGCGCTTATCGGGACCTGGGAAACCGAATTAACCGGTCATCAACAGTGCAGTGGCCGGTAGCTGCACCGCAGAGGAGACCCGAAACCGATAATAACTCATGAGGCTAACCGCATCTGGCAGGTCATAATACGCCAACGAAACTCATTGGATCTCGTATTAAAGGTTTAATAACTCAGATGGGAGGTCGGCTCTTTAAGATGCAGGAAAAAAAAAAAACAAAAACACAAATCATTCAGAAATCCTCAAATTAATATGAACATGAAACATCCCATCAAATTTCAGCGACATCCCTCGAGTGGTGTACGGCTTCGCGACTGATCTAAAGAGTGAGAGATGAGATTTTAATAAAATGCTGTTTTTTCATGAAGCTGCTAAAAGTTTTGGAGGTTTAAATTTACATCGTGACCTTCAGCCAGAGATCGTCTGCGGGGAAACGGCAGCCAATAAACAAAAGACATGATGAATTTGTTTGGATTTGAGGGAATTGAAGTTTTTTTTTCTGCCACTTATCAACAGTCAGAAAACCATAAATGACTTATACGTCTCTGCTAGCAGTTTGAACGTCGGCTGAATGCGAGATCGGCACAGCTTAGATGTCAACTAGCAGCTCTTATTACATGGTAAAACTTTCCAAGGATGGCTGTCTGGCCACACTGAAGGACAAGCTGAGAGATGCCTTAGCAATTATAATTAACCTAGAACGAAGCTCTCAGTCTGCTCCTTTTGTACTTGCAAGGCATGCATCTAAAATCTGTCTCTTTTTGCTAGAGCATCTGAAACTTAAGTACCATATCGTGCCCTTAACAGTTCTCGCAGTGTATTTCTGGAACAATCCTTCAATGCTACGTGATGGATTTCTAAAAAAAAAGAAGAAGAAGTAGAAATTACACCTGTTTGAAATAGCAATAGTGATTTTGAACATCAACAAAGATTATAATTTAAAAAAAGAAGCTAGAAGTAAGAGGAATTGAGCTGCAAGTGTAGTTTACCTTCAATTAACGACTGCCAGGGCTTCAATGAGTCTTTCTATGCATTTTAATATTCACATGGATGGAATTAAAAAAGAAAAAGATGTCTGTGAAGATTCTCAGTCATCCAGGTCATGGCTATTCTTGTAGTTTCATCGCAGCAGCTGGACTTGCTTGAGTTCCTTGAAGACGTTCCACCTCTCGTCCAAGGCGCTTCATCACTTCTGACTGACTGGTTGGGAGTTCCGGATATCCTTAAGGACTCTCCCCAGGAAGATGAAACCACATCCACACCTAGCCACAAAAGACCTCTACGAACCGCTTTGTGGCAGGGGGAGCACTAATGACTCACATAACGAAGGGGAAACTCAGGTGTTAATGGCTCCTTAAGGATATAAGTATCTGGAACTCCCAACCAGTCAGTCAGAACTGATGAAGCCTCTTGGATGAGAGGTGGAACGTCTTCAAGGAACTCAAGCAAGTCCAGTTGCTGCAATCTACGAGAGTGTCAGGAAAAAACTGGATTTTTCTGGACTGGTGAACACATTAGCTGTTTATTGTGTCATGCACTTAAGAGCTTTCAGCCGTTATCACAACTGGTGGTGCAAAATTTATCCGGCAAACAAACTGTTACAGTGAGTGAACAGAAGTAAGTCGATCTCACTGCGCAGCCAAACGTTCAAACTGTAAGCAGAGACACTGGAAAGGAACCCCTTTAAAGCATAAGACTGGAGCTGCTCTCTCTATATTTTTTGTAATGTCAACAAATCCCATTGAAAGTTTATAGTTTAATTAAGAGCCCGACTGATCCTGGATTTCTGGGGCTGATGTCCATTTTTAGGGACTGAAAAATTCTGGTGTTCTTTACATATACTACACTGAAAAGGGAAAATGATAGAGTCAGTGTTTATGTGCTCTGCTACATGCGCTGCAGACAGTGAGTCGGAGCTGAGGGGTGTATTAAGACATAGTCAGGCTTTCTTAAACCTACAATCCCGAGCAGAGATATTGTATATCACGGTGGAGTTTATCTTCTTCTGCACTAAATGGACCGATCCTGCGCTGTCTATAGAGTCAAGATGAACAGGTTGTTATAACGGAGAGCTATGAAGCAGAACATGCAAGACAGGAATGCTGTCAATCAATAGTCAATCCTGTAAGTTAATACATGCATTTTACCACCCGGTGCACGCTCAATGCAGCCATTTATTTCTAACGTAGCAGCTGCACATTAGAGCTCTTAAATATTTAACTTCAGACATTTAAACCTCAAACTCAAGTAGATGTGACACTGCCCCATAATGAAGGATACGTGTACATGACTTTAGACTTGGATGAAATTAATGTTACTAATGGAATCTCTGTCATAAATCTGTCTCCCAGCAGCTGAAAACAGATTTATGCCTCGTCTGCATCACTGTGAATGCATGTGGTGTTAGTAAGGTACAGCTCAACAGGTAATATGACATATCTGCTCAGCTGAGAATCTGTATCGCTCACAGAGAATAAAACTTGCGAAAGGGAGGACGATTCCTACGGCCGATTTAATTCTCAAACTGTGAACAGAGCGGGTCAGCTGTGCGGCATCGGTTTCCATGGTGATGGAGCCACGCTAAAGAGAAGCCACTTTCAAGAAAAAGAATTTGGCTTAGGCTCAGCAAAGCCTCACTAACCCACTAATCCCATTACGTAGTACACCCCGCTGCTCCGCTGCAGATCGATGGCACCATTTCTTAATTGCACAAAGCATCTTTTTGCATTATGTTCTGTAAAAAAATAAAATAATAGTGACATAAACATATACCAACACCGGTGTTATTATGATTCAGCAGGTAGTGTCAGCTGACCAGAATATCAGTCGGGCTCTGTTAATTATGCACAAGTACAGCTATGTACTGTAGTTTTCAGTGGCAAATTAATACACATCTGATGCTCTTGTGGGTTTCTCTGGCAGCAGGTGTAGATGAGATTGACCCTAAATAAAACTACAGCACCCCCGCTGGCTGTAGTGCAGGAATAAGACACGCAGAGAGGTAATGTGTGGAAAAGAACTCTCAGGCTTTGGCTACACAGGTTATATTTTCTGTAGGATGCATTTGTTGTTGTGTTTTAATGGGATTTGATGACAATTAGATTAATACAGTATATATTTTGCCCTTTCACGGAAAGATGCGAATATGTTTATGACATTCCTGACCAACACTGTCTGTCTCTAGTGGCAATACATTCTTCTCACTGTGAACCGAGCGTAGAGACAGTTGTACGAAATCTTTATACCTTCTCTATACCTCTCTTCATCTGCTGTCTTCTCTCTTTTTTTTTCCTCTTTAAAGTTTGGCAGGCAGAAAGTAAACTTCCTGCCGGTGGGTTTTTCTTTTCTTTTTTTTTTCCAAAAGGATGTTCTCCTCCCAGCACATGCTGACACCTAAAACGCTCACATCTGTACAGAGCATTTCTCATCCTGAAAATAAACACTCTGTTTTTTCTTTTTTTCTACCACCACCACCTTCGGTCTGCTCTGCTCCCTCATCTCTCTGTGTTGACAGTGGCTGGCCCGACACCCGAAAAAGAAGAGAAAAATGACAGCGAGGGGGGATAGGAGGAGGAGAGAAAGTGCTGACGCGCCCTGCGAGCTGGACAGGGCCTTAATTGATCACTCGTACAGGAAGGAGAGGAGGAGGAGGAGGAGGAGGAGGAGGGGAGGAGGATGGGATGGGATGGGAGGAAAGAGGAGGGGAGGGTTAATGGACGAAAGAGGGGGCATGCTGGGTAATTCATCGGATTTATGAGGGACAATGGCAAGAGGGGAGATGGGTGCTCAGACAAGTATAACTCTGTCACGGGCATCAAATGAAAGGCCACTGCACTACATCACGGCGCAGGGGAGAATATGTATACTACGGAAATAAACAGAAATTAGACACGTATTTTCATGCGACTACGGGAGGTGGGGGGGGGACCTTCACTGTGTCACTCAGTCAGTGTGTCAGGCTGAGTAAAGAGTCAGCCGGGTGTATTTATAGTAGTGTGCTGGTCCTT